AATTAAGCTTTGCTACGCCGTGCCGTTAATACCGGAGCTATGTATTATGACAGTGTCAATCAAGCAACGCGAAATACTTGATCCGCACAAAGCATCTGTCTGAGAAGTAGGCCACATGAAAAGTACCACCATTACCACTAGAATCAATCCAGCTCCTAGACTAGCTTTGAAAGCGCGGATAACCCGCAAATTTACCAAAAGTTTCGAGTTTTCAGTTGTCCTGTCTTTTGAAAGACCTTTATTACCATAATATATTCTCTGTTGTTCAACATCTCCGAGCCTTTCTTTTAACTTATCACACCATCCCACAAAGTCTCACCATGCCAGACCATCAACCCGCGCCCCTGAGATACCTGATTTCCCAGTGCAGGTCATACCGAAGGAATCTCTCCAATAACTACCCCCGAACCCCGATTGTTAATAACACGCAGGTAGGTGGGGGTTGCTCTTGGGGTGCAATATCCCGATCGTTACGGCCTATAAGAAGAGCCGAGGGTCGTCGACTCGGGTGGCTCAACAGAGATAGATATCTGTGGTGCTTTCGCGCTCCTAAAGTGCCCTTACTTGTGGGAAAGCGTCTACAAAAATTTGGGGAGTATCTGAAGTAAGATTATATCCTAGGGGGGATTGTAAGGTGCTTCTCCGGTGAGAGTTTTCCTTGCTTCCTAAGGGCGTGCCTAGAGAGGGGGGGGTATCTTTGGCATTAAATTATCGTTGGATATGAGAATGTTGGAAGCTGTTAGAGGGGGTTAGGCCATATGGTGAACTATACCACCTTTTGTAAAGAAACCTAGAAATATAGTGTAAAATACTCATAATGCCATTCACAAGGCCCTAAATTCTCCTGGAACTAGCCCTTTTCTGGAATAAGTATGAAGTTGTAGATAAATATTTCTCCTTCTCTTCCGTGATGTGAACCTCACAACACAATTGAGTTATCTGGCTGGGGGGGGTGAGGACTTTTCAGAGCCTTGGTGTTGGGTTCCTCAGAATACACGTTTACAGTTGTAAGAAACCCCAACTTAGCGCAGACCAGTATCATCGGTACTCACTCGGAAGATGAGTGGGAATGAAACCCAGGATGGGGCTTTCATCACGTATGAGGTACGGTTTCAACATTGAAGATAGGTGTTTATATTGAGCCATACCAAGGATTCGACGAGCTGAAATTTCTTGCAACGACAAGTTAGCTAACAGCACCTCTCAGCACGAATTCCATGGGGATAAGGAAGTTGTTATAAGAGCTCAAAGAGGGTCTACGTGGGCACGCCATATACCAGACCTGGCGAGCAAATGGTTGGTGAGTACGCAATCCTTCAAAATATACGTATATTACTCCCGGAGAATCTACCCCTTTCCAGAAAAAGGAGCCTTTCCCCACATCTTCCTTTCCCCTCTCTTTATCTCCTTTCTTCCTTATCGCATTTTCCTTCTCCTACTTCTCCTCCCGTGCCTTCCCTAACCATCTCCACTCCCCCATCTTCCTCACCCTTCACCAACCCCATACTCATTGATTTTATTTCCCCCATATTTGCCTTGTGTTAACCTTTTCCCGTTCTTCATTCACAATCTCCTGCCGGGGGAGCCTCCCCATAGCCACATTAGAAGGACAAAATGGAGTTTTCTCTTGTCACCCTGTTCTTAGCTTTAGCAACCGCAATTCATGTTGCCGCCACTGGTGATTCAGGGGTAACTATAATTCTCCCTCTCTATCACATTTGGTGATGGCGATTTTACTTGTTCCCTTGTTTGTTACACACGGAGAGCTTAGTTCCTAGCTGGTTTAAGATGCTGTGACTTGATACAACTGGTGTGATTCCAAGATTTATCCCCGTCACTAACGCAAGTTTTTGACCCCCCAGACCCGGACCCATCCCAGCAATGAAGCAGAGCATGCTGCCGGTATGGCAAATGCTGTCACTGCTGAGTACAAGAAGGCCCACGGCGTGACCCCCGAACTCGAGGCTATAATCCTCAGCGACGGTTCTGGTGGTCAAGGGGCCAACAGCTACTATGACGGCTTTGTTCCTGTCAATCTTGTCAGCGAGGGTACCGGAAAGAACACTAGAAGAAACGATAATGATGGGTATGTTTTATTCTTTCGAACCCGTTGATGTTTCCCCGTAAATGCTTCCAAAAACTAACGAATACCGGTCTCAGTCTCGTCATCCCGATCGAATATCAGGATCCGGGTGATACTGTGGTTACTGTTACCTCAACTATTGTTGCCACGGAGAGTGTCACTATCACTATCTCGTTTACAATCACTACGACTGCCACTTCGACCGTTAGTATCTGCACGTCACAGATGTATCATCCACAGATACCATCTCCCATTCATCCTACTAGAACTGCGGGCGTCAGACCTGCCCCCTCTAGGTGTCCTGTTGTTGCCATTGCGGTGGCACTCCCCACACCTACTTTACTTATTGTTGGATGCCCTTCCCATGCTCCTACAGGGACTATCAAAATCAATGGGCCCACCTTGGTGCGTCCTGCATCTCCAGAACATTCTATCGGGACAACAACTATTGTTCCGATACCTCCAGAGCATCCTGGTATTCCGAAACATTCTATCGTAACTTCTACTATACATCCAACTCCTTCCTTTGCAACAGCCACGAGGATCATTGGTGGTACTTCGGAGGGTCCCGCCCAAACTCCAACTATAGATCCAATTTCACCAAAGCGTTCCCCTTCTGTTGCGACATTCGTCGGACCCTACCCAACTAGTACAGCCGTTCATGAGGTTGGAGCTGTTTCCGCCTATCCTATCTCTACCTGTGATCATATCATGACCTATCCTACCGCGATCCCCCAGACTACCTTCGTAACCAAAGTCAGGAATCCCACTGCAACCATCAGTTAGGCGACCATGTACTGACGGTGAGGGTTGTGGCCCTGGTGCGCCCCCCTGGCCCTTTTATCCGGCTCTTCTTTCTCTTCCATTCCCCTCACGCTTCTATAGTATTTCTAAAAACATCCGATGATGTGGGGGGTTGGTGGACAATTTCTCTTGTTCTAATTTTATTCAGGGGGTCCATTGTGGGCGGCTAGAAAACTGATGAAAGGGAAAGCTCTTGTTATCGATATTACCTTGATTCCAAGTGATCTCTAAGTGAAAACATTGATATCGTGAGCAACGGAACAATTGTCTTAATATATCACTTATGGAGCCAATAAATCAGGTTCAGCACGAGTAGGTACAGGCTGTTCTGGGTGTAGCTTCGCAATGTCTAGCAGCTATCGGGCCCGGAATTCAGTGCAAAGGCTCCCGAATAGCCAACGGAGGTGGATATGATCCAAAGTATGATACAAGTACCATGCCGGCAGTCATAGGAACCTCAGTAAGACACAATAGGGTTAGGGTTATTATGGAAGGAGTTGCTCGATTGGTCAGGCAGCGATCAGGTGTCAGATGACAACCGTCCAAAACTAAATTACCAACCCTGTCGTGCCTGTGAGCACAGCTATGAGCAAAAGATATAACTATTAACCTACTAATAATCCACGAAAATCTCTATAATGTCTTTTCATCCTATGCCTGAGATACTAGCCTGCATTTCTTCACAAACATGTCAGAACCACTCGCCTTTGCCTCTGTTTGCGCTGGAGTGATATCTCTATCCGGGACCATCCTCTCTTCGTCCATAACCCTCAGCGATGCTGTAGAACTCCTCCAGGCCCGCTGGGAAATGAACGTCCGAGTAGCTGCTCCCTCCCCTCAACCGAAAAAAAAAACTAGCTAAAAAAAAATAGCGACTGAAACCCTACAACATCCCAAAGCCCTTCTACCCCCTCCTCCTCCCCATAACCGACACCCTCATAACTCTCGAATCAAACGTCCTTCTTGCCAGTGACAACGACCTCCTAGACTACCGCTCCCGCCGCATGGCAGGGTGCAGCATGACCGGCGTCGCCGCGGCACTAGTAGCACAGGTGACGAACACCTCCCTGCAGCAGGAATACATCCCGACGACGCACTGGATAGTCCCAGCACTATGGACGAGCACGCTCGTGTTGGCTTTGCTATCCGCGTACTATTCCCTCCTGCTGCACCACTACCTGGGCGGGTTCGCGGGGGCAGGCGATTTGCGGAAGGCGTTCACGCATAGGGGTCTCAGCAGGGAGGAGGGGAGGAGGAGGCTACCAAGCCTTACCGCCGCGGTAAAGGTTTGGGCGCCGACATACCTGCTCGCGCTATCTATCGGGTCGTATATTGGAACCATAGGTGTGTATTGGGGCCTCGCGTGGGGGATGGATTTGCAGGGGAAGGGGGTGGGGAGCCGAAATGTCCGTCCGCACCATCCCACGCCTTTAGTGCCTCAGGCTGATAATCGATCGCGTAGGTGTTCATATGCTTCCTCGTAACGGCAACACTGGCGGTATGTCTGTTCGCGGTGCCGAATACGGTCGGGAAGTTACTCGAGGACTTTGCCAATTTGAGGGGGTACAAGGAGGGGTTGTACTTCCACGGGCATCACGGGCTGCCTGGACCTCGGGGCGTCGCCAGCGCTGGGAAGGGAGGGAGTGATGGGTCGGAGGATGCGTTTGATACTAGTTCTAGTTTGTTGTCCCGGTCTTGTTCTTTTTTTGTTTTGGGGGGTACGACAATGGGACTAATATGTGGATAGCGATACCGGAACCGCCGAAAGCGAGGGTTAGGGATGTGGAGAGTTTTTGTAGCATGAGGGGGGAGAAGGAAGTTGACGGGAGTGTGCTCGCGGAGGCTGCGGAAGCGCATCAGCGAGCGGCGGTCGCTAGCGCTAATGTTGCGAGGGAGATGGAGAGGGTTTGGGGGGGTGGGGTGGGAAAAGAGGTGGCCAGGAGGGATACTTGTGAGGGGTTTGGTATTTGAGGGTTGGGGTTTTGTTCCGAGATCGGAGTGGTTTTTGATGACTTGCTATGATTATTGCATTTTCGTTTTGTTGGGGGACCTCTTTGGATGTGGTGAGCTTGGCTGGGTTGTATAGAATCTGGGTTGCAGAGGCAATAGAGTATTATGACTACTAATCCATGTATTTTTATTCCTCGAGAGAGAGAACTCTTTGCTCTAATAGACATCACCCGGCGCATTCCCAGTTGAATTGATCGAGTAAGGGCCGCACGCGGGCGGAGCTTGGTTTACCCTAGGTTTCGGCGTATACAAAGTATAACTTTTGGGCCAAACATTATTAGTCCAACCATTCCAAACAATTTCCCCCAGTGCCCACTAGCTAGCTATATACCAATCAGTAGCCACTTTCTAACACTGACTACCTCCTTCTACCCGCGCCGCCTCCGCCTCCGCTTCCCCCACCACCCCCCAACCCACAAGCATCCGCCAAACTGACAATCTCGCCAATACCCGCCTCCTCCTGCTCATCCTCCAGGGCTCTGATCTCTTCTCTGCAGGCCCACCACTTGTCTTCTGCGGCAGCGAAGCCTTCCTTCCGAAGTTCCTTGACAGTCTTGTTCTTGTGCGCTCCTGTTTCCTGCTCTGCAACAAGCATCTCGAGCCAAGCGACCGAAGTCCTCGCGAAGAACTCCCGAAGAGATTCGAAGGGACGAGGGTGTGGGGTTCTGTCTAATGAGGTTTCTTCCACAACTTCCTCCATAGGCACTGGGTCTTGGGCGCCCGGGGTCCCGAGGGTTTGCTCGGGGTCTTTAGATTTAACATTTTTACGCTATTAAGTTAGGTATTGTATTAGCAGGGTAAAAATAAAGCAAACGAAGCAGAAGAGGATACTCACCAGGGCCTTTTCCTTCCGCCGGAGTTCAATCTCGGTTTCATCGATTTGCATTTTCTCAGGCTCTTCATTTTCGTCGATTTCCATTCCCTCTCCTTCCTCCTCTTCGTCTTCGTCGTCTTCGTCATCCTCATCGTCCTCGCTTTCTTCCCAAATCGTCTCGTCCCTGCGGGAAAAGATGGACCTTACACCATCGAGTTTTCCGAGATCTATGGCGAACATCTCGTCGAGCGTGAATTCTCGATCCCCCTTTTCCCAGGTGCCACCGTAGATGTATAGGACGTCGTCGAGGACTGCGATGGCAGCATTGAACCTTTCGTGGGGGAGTTCGAGACTCATCGCCTGTTCCCTGATGACGATGGGTCCCTTTTCTTCCTTTTTCTCTTCTTCTTCCTCGTCATCGTAGTCGTCTTTTCCTACTGCCTCCAGTGATTTCAGGTTTCTTAATAGATCCTCTTCAGCTTCTCTAGCCCTATCTCTCCTTCCACCCCCCCGGTCATTCCAGGCCTTCTTCTGAACCCTTGGCTTTCTAAGGACTAACGGAAAGAAGCGATTTCTGTCTATTCCCCATGCAAATAAATCGTTAAAGAAGGTACTTTCCAACCCTTCATCGCTACCCTCCTCATCCTTCACTCCACCAAATAGTATCCCTCTACCTTTATGCCAAGCCATCGTGACCCCAACCCTAGGGGGATTTGGCGGATTCCCAGGCTTCTTCCTCCGCTCCCACCGAACCTTGGCCAAGTCCTGATCCATCCTCAGAAACCAGGTGTCCTGATGAATCACCGGCTTCCAAGCCACCGATCCACTAGAAGCCTTGCTTCCACCGCCACCCTTCTTATGCCCCGCAGAGGGTATGGACGAAGACTTGACACGAGAGTAACCCCCAAACAGCACGGCTCCCTGTTCATGCGGTAAGAGCGAAAACGAACTCCTCGCCTCGGGCCGTTGCGCATGCGCAGGTAGCGAGATGGCGGTCCAAGTGTACAAATTCGTATCGAAGGCCCATAGGTCACTCAGGTATTTTGTGGTAGAACCCGTATCTTGAAATCCCCCCATTACCAATATATAATTCTTCCAAGCCACCATTCTATGCCCACTCCTCGCCGGCGGTCCCCCCCCTCCACCAGCCCCCCTCCCACCACTCTTACTCTCCACACGCGCCCACTCCCGCGACCCGATATCGAACCTCCAAAAGTCATTATAGTGGTAGAAAGTCCCCTGTTTCGGACTCGAAAATTCTCCACCGAACAGCCACATACTACCCGTATTCCCGCCACCGTACTGCGACGTCGTCACGCAGTGTCCGGACCGCGGAAGTGGTGAATTCGGTGAAGTTATCTGTCGCCACTCATCATGCGCGGGGTTATACACAAACAATTCGTTGAAAAACCTCGCGACAGCCCCGTTAAACGTCTCGCCGCCAAAGAGGAACAGCTCCTTACCGCTGAGGGCCGCCGCGAGGGTAGCGTTCGCACGCGCGGGTGGCGGTACGGGGAGCGGGGTTTCGGTGACTTTCAGGAAGAGAGCTTGCTTTGCGTTATTAACACCTTCCCTCCCTCCCCTGCTTAGCGAGAGGGTCAGTTACCTGACGGGTGTACTCCTCCAGCACTGAATCGAGATCTACGTCGTCATCGTCCACGTCCGCGACTCTCTTGTTACCGGACTTTTTCTCCTTCTTGGACGTTTTTCGCGCGGTCTTTTCCGCCACGCGGGCTTTCTTGTCGGCGGATTTCTTCTTGGAGTCTTTCTTGCCCATTTTCGGGTCCTAGCGCTTGTTGATGTGCGGAGGGTTCCGTGAGGCCCGGGCCAAGCGCCATTCTGATTTTTCGGTCGTTGCGGCTGGTGGCGGTTTGGTGGTGGTGGGGTAATTGGTGCAAGGATGGGTGGGCATAGATCGATTATGGGTTTCTTCGGTTATCTTATCTGATCAGGTGGCTACGAGTCACGGGATGTCACTCTCTATGCGATGTTTTGGGATTGTTGTGAGAATATTGAATGGAACGAAGATATTGCGAAGTGAATGATTTTGCTTAAGAGACTCAAAGGCTTGTCTATCTCAACAGGAAGAGCAAAAGGCCTTGACTATCTACTGCTGAGAGCGAGACACAAAAGGTCGAGTGAACAGTAACAAGAGGAAAGAAAAAGGAGAAAGAAGTAAGGGGGTATTAATAGGGGTAGACCAGTGATAGAGTTTGATGCAAAGGAAAAAGTCTATCGTAGCGTGATACCATAGTAGTATCAGAAGTATGTTTCAACAGGGATCAATGAATGTCATGGATTGAGAGTTCGGGTCTGGGACAAGTCTTGGTGCTGTTGGAGGGAGCTTGAGCTGTAATTTGGAGAATAGCGATCCAGGAAACGAGTAGGCACAGGAACCAGTTATTCAAATCAGTCCACGGTATCCTGATAGTACGGTACTGTGGCTGGTGAGCAGGTCTATCCTTTCATCCGTATTTGTCACTTTCCGATGTTCTCCACTGGCCAGGTCACAGCAAGAGCCCTCCGCCCATAGTGACTCTATTTCTGGTGAAATACCTTGGATTAATCTAGCCACCAGCCGCTCCAAAAGCCGTGATTTCTACGCACAGATCAAAAGATAAAGCCAGCAACGATACCAGCTGACGAATCTTGATCTCTCTGCTCGAATGCGCATCTCGGGGAGGTTATAATAGCTCAAGGAAGGCATGCCCGCATATCTCATGTTTCAACCTACAGTGTGATCGGTCCTGTTCATGTCACCTCCCATCATACTTCATTAACTCAGAGGTGCCGCAACACGACTCAAACACTGATATAGAGTTCGGCGACGCATTTTATCCCTAACTGTGCTCCGTACTAAAACCATTGTCTCCCAGAGCTCCAAAACGTGTGCACAAGATTCAAACAGCCACCCATGGCACACTCACTAGACGAAACGCGCAGCTATCGCAATAAATGTGTCAATATCCGGAAGATGTATAGCTCTAGTTTTTTTTGCAACTCGTCTCACGTAAACCCGATACCAGCAATTCCTTCGGGATTTAGTCAAGGTCCCATTCGGCACTCCCAAGTACCAGGTATTCCAACTCATTTCTCGCAGCAGCACTGCCTCAAAAAGGATAACGCAGAATCTTTGCATGTTACTGAAATATTGTTCTTCAGAACCTGTTTAGCATACTCTGCACTTTCCAAATACCTATTAAAAGAGATATTGCGATAAAAAGCGTTGTGCTGCCCCGACATCTCTGCTTCCGGAAGTACTCCATATTTTCGCCCTGGCTTGTGAGATATCCTCATGGAATACCATGGTATTTTTGCATTGGTGAGTATGATATTCCCCCACGCGAGATGCTATACACATCTCGCACGCGCTCAAACGCGCCTCGAGCCGGGGTTTTCGAGATTTCCCTGTGGTGAGTGGCGAAATGGGGGTGCAGAGGTTCTCGGCTATTTGGGATTCGCAAGGGTGTTGACCTTTGGGTATATGATATGCTCAACCTCCTGGAAATTTCGGTCTGGCTCTGGTGTAATGCATGAGGCATGATATTATACTATGGATCACCTATAGGCTATAGGGAATGTAGTTAGGGAGCTATGATACCATAGCATATATCATAACAGGAAGTTAAGTAATGTTCAGAACACCAATGGCCAGCATGGCGCGTAAGTCATGAGTCTTTATGGATCGGGGTGGTTCCGGATTATCCGGAGCCGCGGAAGGCGGCCGTGTCTCTGGGGAGTTTGGCTCCAAAGTGATTGTAGTGTTTCGTTCTTTTTGGGAGGTTTGGCCAATTCTTGGAGCTGTTGACTACTAGTATTCAGAGATGTATCCCTCATGGACTGCCCTTGGATAGCATCTCTATCGATCGTTTGGTACACCATTCCCCCCCCGTTCCGTGTTTCATTCACGGTGACCTCACTCGCACTGCTGCATCCTTCCGTTGGTCATTTGTATCTTGACTTATTTCCTGTTATGGCTAATCCGAACCAACTCTTGCCATCCTCGTCCTACCGTTCCCCCCTAATTACCGGTGGTTTGTGGACCCGATGGTAGCCCATTGTTTCACAAGTGATTTTTCGTGAGATGTCCTCCATTTAGATGCAATGCTTGATGGGTGCTCGTACCTCGCAAAGAGTGGAAGAAAGTTTCTTACTGGAAGATTGCTTCTGTGATAGGTAAATCTATATATCTGTTAGCTTGATATGATAGGGAGGAAACAGGATCGGGATAAGAGTTGATTACTTCTATTTCGAGTCAAATCCCCTAACATACGGTATTCGTGATGGCATACCTATAATACATTAGCGGATCCTCCTTAAGATGGTGTTTCCTTCTTTGATCTCTGATAAAGAGAAAATGGACTTGTTTTCTCCTTGGGGGCAAGTGTTTTTCTTCTTTTCACCTCCCCTAGAATTCGCTGCTTCAGCATTCATATGCCGCAAGTGTCATTTCTCGAGTCATTAGTTGTTTTGTTCTAGTTCCCGTCTCTCGTGCCTCTAGTACAGATATATCGATACAAGCGATTCCGTCCAAAGCACATCGATAGAACCTCTCGCTTCTCACACAACTCAGAGGGCCATTATTCCCTCCTAAAGCCAAGGACAATATCGAGCTTCCCAGGGGCACAGTACCCCTTCCGCGAGTGACCACCCATGACTCCCCGGTGCATTAACACCTGCCCCCGCCACCAATCTCGACTCCCACCGCCAACAATCCAAACAGCCAAGCAACCACACACACACGCACACACGGAGCGAGAAAAATTTCGGAAATTCCGGTACAGTTAGCGGGGCATTCCTGCAACCACACCAAGTTTATTTTTGTTTGTGTACACATCATCCTTTTATCCGGTACAACCAGAATTTTCACTCAAAGAACTACTCCACCCCCTCACTCACGATACTCCTCCCTTAGGTGGTGTGGCCAATCACAGCCCTCCATCCTAAGGCTTCATTTCCTTTGAGAGTTTAGGACGCTGGCCATAAGACCATCCTACTCACTCACCATGACCTCCCAACCCTCGTCTCTGGCCTTGCCGCATCTTCCCCACTCTCCCTCCCCCTTGGGGGGACCCAGAAGCCCTACCAAGAGCCCAAGAGTCAACTCCCCCAGCCTCCTCCCGCCCGGTTCCCCTCAAGGAGTATCCCTCAACTCAACTCTCCCCATGTTTGCCACCATCAGGCACCAAAGAGGTTGTCCCAACGCCTTAATCAACGTGGGAAACAGGATTGTAGCCAGGGGAAGTACTTTCCCAGAGGTCAGACAGGAACTAGGATGCACAGATGCATGCTATGTCCTCCTCACGGGAAACACGAAAGCCCCGACCATAGCGGCACCCCAACCGGAACTTCCAGGTTTCAGGACTACGCTCCAGAAAATCTTTGGCAATGAAGCGGTAGACACAGCCGACACCGACGCCCGAGCCTTCCTGGTAGCAGCAGCTTCCTCCTACCACTCGTCACAAGAAAGCCCTGTGCCAGTATCCCAGATACCGCAGGTCCCAGCCTTCTCCCCACCGCTGGACGAAGTGAATGAACCCATGGACCAATCCCAAGACATCGGAGTAACCGAAACACAGGTTACGCAAGATGTAGCAATGTCCCTGGGAAATGGGAAAAACACAGACCAAACTGGGCTGGGAGACAGCCAACACGCCCACGGCCCAAGCGAAGTGCCAGAGAGCTTGGCCCCCCAGAATGCACTAAGGCAGGTACGCTTCTCCTCCCCCCTGACTACAACAAGAGAAATCCCGGGAACCCTAACCAGCAACATAACAAACAACCCGGACTCTTTGCAAACCCAAAACCGCTCCACCACCCCCTCCTCCCTGTACGAATCGACGGAAGTCGAGCTCACACCGAAAGAAAAGGAGGAACTAGAACACCCCATCACCGTCGGCATCATGGTCGGTTTCATCCATCGGTTGGAAAAGAAGTTCCAGGAGCAGATGCAAGCCATGGAGGCACGACTCACTGGGGAAATAAGGCTGAAAACTAGACAGTCCAGCACTGGCACCCCCACCCCCACCCCCAACCCCTCTCCATTCACTGCCCCCAGACAGCTCAGAGCCCCAACCCCAGCCCCCAACCAGAACCCCTCCCCCCCCCAACCCGCAACGCCGTACCACAGCCCCCCCCCCTAAACAAATTTTAAGAAAGCCTAAGGGAGACGCACCAGTACCGGCACCGCAGGCCGGAGCGAGTACCAGGACAGAAGAAGCTACCCCACAGAAAGCGGCGCTCAGGCAGACGTGGGCTGCCATTACGTCCTCTGGAATCGACGTTGACGGCTTCCGGCTAGTCCCAACAAAGAAGAGGAGACAAGAGCCAGCCCCAGGCATCCGAGAAACGGCGCCCTCGGCACCCTCAACCCCATACACCAGGCAAAGGAGGCTCCTTATTCGGTCGGCAGAAAGGGGCCGCAGGATAGGAGCAGCGGGGCTGTCACCAGCCAGAATCAGAGACGCGGTCAACTCGGCGTCCAGGGTTAAGTTTGCATGTGCAGAATTTAACCGAAACGACGACCTGGTACTTACCACCATGGGAGACCTACCGGTCGAACCAGCCCTTAACGATGTATCAGCAATCACCAAGGCTCAGAATGAGATCGACGTTTTTGGCTTCAACATCGCCACAGACACGCCGTCCATCAACATCGTCATCAATAGCATACCACTAGGTGACGAAGATTGGACACCTGAAGAATGGGACGCGGACTCCGATAGATGGGAGGACCTAACGAAGGAAATCTCCGAATACAACCCACAGGTCTGGCTG